AATCTTGTTAGATTATCCGAGCATTTTTTTGAACTCTTTTTGTCAATAGATTTACCTCATCTAACTATTAGTTCAAATGCACATTTGAAATTCAGCTCTTCACAATTTTAAACTCACCAAATTCAGCATTTATTATTTCCTAAATTTTCATAATTCCTAATTGTATTGTTAAAATTTTTGGAAAATTAAATAAAAAAAGTTTTTAAAAATTGATATACTTGAAAATTTTGTTATTTCTATCTTGGCACTATATATACACTTTTAAAGTGTACATATAGTTTTCTCAATAAACAATTGTCCTCCTGCAAGCTAATGTTGTTGTTGTCACCACAATTAGTACTAAAAGCTCTAAAAGTGCAAGCTAATGTTGTTGTTGTCACCACAATTAGTACTAAAAGCTCTAAAACTTTCTTTAACCCAGAAAGTAAACATCAAAATCGATGGAGTAAATATAGATTTCAATTTACCAAGTATAATTAATAGAGAAAAAAAATTGCACGGGGACAAAAGCCAAAATAATATGAGAGAGTGAAATACAAAATGTCGAAACTAAATATGGATGTACGAAATGCCACATGGTCTGCATGTATGTAGGAGACCTTCTACACTAATGGGAGCTCACTGCGAGGATTTGAAAAATATGAGGTCGATGTTCAGTCCTTTGGCGAGATCGTGAGATACCTAATGAGTTTTCTATAACAATGAATCATTTTTAGTCTTTCAACATCGAGCTTCAATAACGACATTTTTTCGGTAACCCGTGCTCTTTAGAAGTCGAGGGGAAGCGACACCATCAAATATTTACTCTACATTCTACGTAGTATAACAAAATCAAAATTAAAAATATCTTTTATGTTGTGCACGACACGGGTAAAAATCATGATTTTTTATTATCTTTCATATAACATCAATATTGTATATATAAAAATGAACATGCTGCAATTAGGGGATATTTTATATATTGGCTAAAAGTGTCAATAAGGGTTAAGTTCTAGAATATTTCATTTCAAAAAACGTTCTGAAACATTCATTCAAAAACAACTCAAATTGAGTCAACAAAAAGCTCAGTTAACGAACTTCTCTCAAAAATCTGAACACACAAAGGACGATAGCAAATCAGTAGAAAGGAGAAAATACAAGGGAAGCTAAAAAAAACCCTTTTTTAAAATTGCTATAACTAATTCTATTTATAATTCAGATTTTACATAGAAAATGTATCAAAATTCATAAATTATAATTATATTTCGTATGACATCGATATTGCATATATAAAAATAAAAATAATCTAAATATACAGTTTATGGAGTTTTTTAGGCTCAAATTATTTCTTAAGTGGACCCAAGTTCTAAAATTAAGTGGATCACAAGCGTTTTCTATTAACTAAATAAAATTCCTCCATTAACCGTACATTTAGATTTATTTTTATATATGCAATATTTTTGTCATACAAAAGATAGTAATTAATTGTAAAATTTGATACATTTTTGGTAAAAATCAAATTACAAATATAAAAAAAAGTTATAGCAATTTTAAAAAAATATTTTTTTTAGTTGAGGTCCCAAACATGTAGCATCTACTTTCTCCTGGCCTGCTTGCTATGTTTTCTAATTTTTGAGAAAGTCTTAACTGAGTTGTTTTATTGATTCAATTTCAATTATTGTTTTTAAATAACTGTTTTAGAACTTAATGTCTTTATTGACACTTCCATCCAATAAATAAAATGTCTCTTAATTGTAGCATGATATTACATTATACAATCATGAGATTTTAAACTTCAAAGTTTGGATGTATTTAAGAAACGTTTTGAGCCTAAAACCCTCCATGTATCATATATTCAAAAATATTTTTATTTTTACATATATAATATTAGTGTCATATGAAAGATAATAAAAAATTATGAATTTTGATATTCTTTTTATAAAAATTGAATAACAAATAAAAAAGATATATTAATTTTAAAAATAAAGAGATTTTTTAATATTCAAAAAAATTGAGAAACTTTTGTGGTTGAAATCCATCAATGTAGTGTCGTACGAAAGATAGATTTTTTTTTTGGTAGCGTGCTTGGGTAGAGTTCCATCATATCAATTAAATGGTAATTAAATGGTAATCTCACGCACCATCATTAATTAATATATTAAATTGGAAAGAGAATTTAAAAGATGATTGTTTAGAAGATGACACAGGGCAAAACTTTCCATAATTGTATCTTTGAAATGTATTATTTATAGATAGATGTATTATTTATAGATAGATGATTCGAATGGCAAAAAAATGTAATCAATCCAAAGAATGAGACCGATCTTGACACGATTCAGACCCCTTTTTTTTGCATTAGAATCACTGGAGTTTTTTCCCAGAGTAAGGTAGTTTTAAATCTTATTTCTCATTCGGTACTTTTAAACTTATTTCCCAAATAAGGGTGTTTTTTGCCTTGTCATCTGCCATGTTGGCGTAGTGTGGCACATCACCTTCCACGTCATTCACCACCCATTCTAGGTATACTAAATTGTAAAAAACTCGTTCCAAAAGGGAGTGGAACCTGTGACCCGTGGTTAAACAATTCAAATCCACGTCATTCACCACCCGGTCATGTGACTGGGTCACGGGCAGTGGAGGACCCACGAAGGGTCCCACGGGGTCCCGGGACCCCGTGGACTTCCAAAACAATACCTATATATATTTATATATTTGTTATATAAAATAAACTACTTATTGTATATATACAAAAAAGCACTGAATTGTAACACAATGGTTGAAGTAGCGAACTGGGATCAAGGACACGCTGGATGCACTACGTCTTCGGAGGTCTAGGGATCGATTCCCCTGGGCATCTGCTTTTTGCAACAAGAGATTCTTAGCTACTTTTTGCAACAAGAGATTTTACTACCCAAAGTATAATTGTAACAATACACAAACTTAACATATCTTTTATGTTAAAGTAAGATTAAATTATTTTGCTACTGAATAAATTTATAGAAAAGGCTGAAAAATATTTGGTGCGACCAATTAAATATAAGTGTAATAAATTCAGACATTAAGTCTAAATAAATATTTAAACCTTTACGTAATTAATGTGCACCTTTATTCAAGAAAAGTAAAGTTTATACGTAGTATTACATTTGTAAAAATGAGACAGGATTAAATTATCTTGAACTTTTACACGAATATTTTTCAAAATTCGAGATATAGAATATTGATGTCACATGAAAGATCAAACAAATTATTTACTTTGATATTTTTTTACTAAACAGAGCACACATAAAAAGGTGTAATATTTTTAATTAAAAAAAAATAGTTAGCCACATGTAATATCTTTCATTATGTACTTCAAAATATGTGCATTAATTATGGAACATCATGCTACTTTAATATTTTACTTCTTTTTTATTAATTTTTTTTATTGATTAGAGTTACATTGGAGTAGGGACCCCGTGACTCTGATTTTCTGGGTCCGCCACTGGTCACGGGTCAAGCCGAACCCGGAGGGTCAACCCGGTCAAAGCCGGAAAACCGGTCAACGATTATACGTCTATATAATAATAATAATAAACATATAATTATATACACTCTCATTATATATTTTTATTTGTATTGTACATTCATATTATAATTTGGCATGATTTTCATTCTTAAATAAATATATAAATATATTACATAGTTTTTCTTTTTAGGGAATTGAAATTGCAATTTTATTGGTTTAAAAAATGCATTAAAATTAAAAAAGAAATTACTTTTTTTTGGAAAAGACCGAAAACCGAGTTTTCCCGGGTTTCTTGGGTCGGGTCCGGATCGGTTTTTTTCGGGTCAGTCGGGTTTTTCCGGTTTTTGACCATTTTCGGATTTTGAAGAAACCGAACCGGATTTTTGTCCGGGTCACCGGGTTCCGGGTCAACCCGGCCGGGTCGGTTTTTTAAACATAGATCCACACCACTTCACCACTTTGCTCAACTATGATTTGTTTTCCTTTTGAAATATTTGAAATGAATACAACGGTTTTACGTATTCAAGAATCAAGAGTGCCTAGCTTATAAACTCATGAATTACAATTACTCGTTCTATTTTCAAAGAATTTAGAGCAGACCTATATTAAAAATATATAGAGCACGTTAAAATAAATTGAAAATAGAAAATTCATTTTTAGTTCGTCTTCGAGCATCTTATTCAAATTTAAACCTATAAAAGTTTATGAGCAAAATCTGAACCAAGTGCGGGTCAACTCTGAGCCGAACTGAGACGTTATAAACAAAATTATTAGATACCAGTAATTTTTACACGTTTTTATTTCTATAATAGAAGAATTTTTTTAAATTTTTGTGTGGAATAGGGCCCAACATAGCATTTATTTTTTTTATTATTTTGAGTAATTAAAAATTAATTTTAAATTCCGTATCTCAAATTAATTTTTTAGTATATTTTCATTTGGTTTTAATTTTTTATTTGAATATCTGGAATTATGTTGTTATCATGTCTTACCTTAATAGTATATAAGATTTTTTTATTTTGCTGTAGGATAGGGCCCAACACACATTTGTTTTTGAGTTTTTTAAATTTTATATTTCATATCTTAAATTAAGTTTTTAGTATATTTTAATTAGGGGTTCATTTTATCATGTTTTATGTTTTTTTTTTGAAAGACATGTTTTATGTTTATATGAGCAAGAAATAATTTATTTTTAAAGGAATGAATAATGCACGAGTTTAACTAGTGCACTCTTGAATGTGTAAAACCGTTATTTTCAAATATTTGGAAAGGAGAACAAGTAACAAGAGAGCAAAGTGGTGGAGTGGTGTGGATGTCATTTGTTGAACCATAGCTCACAGGTTCAACTCTCTTTAGGAATGATTTTTTTACAATTTTAGTAGACCTAAATTAAATGATGTGGAATGGATGGCGAATGACATGGAAGGTGTGATGGCCACTACACTGACATGGCAAATGACAAGGCAAAAAACACCCTTATTTGGTAAATAAGTTTAAAAGTACCCTAGATTGGGAAATAAGATTTAAAACTACCCCACTTCGGGGGAAAACTCAGAATCACTGGGAAGAACTTTTAAAGGATGGTGACCCAGATTCAGAAAATATGTAGGCCAGTCCAGGACAGGGCCTACGTGTAGCTATTTTTTGGGAATGAGAAACATTTCTAAAAATGGAGTATATAGCTGGATATTATGTTATACACAGAGTATTAACAAATCAGATGAACTCGAATATTCAGTGCTTTAACAGTTTCACACTTTCACTCATGGACCAATTTGATATATAACAAACACCGCCTTCAGAAAAGCTTCCCGCAAATCCTTACTCACCACAGCTGTATTAGTTTCTAAACATGATTTTCCCACCAGGGGTTGTCCCCGCGCGCATCAAGCAGCTGATGGGCATATAAGAAGCAATAAGAGCCCGAATAACGTGTCATCCATCGTTAAAAAGATCAAATTAAAATGATCCTCAAAATCGTCCTGCATTTACTTCATGGTATACGTCATTAAGGTATTATCATCATCATCATCACCCCAGTGCCGCAAAGGCCCCCACCTACTGTGGGGTAAGAGAGGCCCCCACCCTGTATTAAAGCACAAAAGCACAAAGAGGCTGTTTCGGATGACTCATAAAAAATATCAATTTAACATGGATGGAAGTCAGAAACTACTGCACGTACAAAAATACAAAAGATTGGAACTTGCGTCGATATCAACTAACTCTAGTCTCTAGAGTATGCTTTTGTCATCTTTAACGCTCTTGTCATCCCTATCACTCATTTGGGGTGTATATTGGCTTGTAGAAGACGGGGAATACCTAGGTGCACTGGGAGAATAACCTGCACTTGGACTGGACACAAGTAAAAGCCATCAAGAGCAAGAATGAGACAAATTTGAACAATGTGAGTTTGAGATGTGACTTGTTTTAAAGGTACAAGTTATTTTTTGGAAAAAGTAAATTAGTTTTACTTCAAAAAGAAGCATTTGGAACAAGTGTTGTCTACCATGAAGTTGTAAATTGAAAGAACATGCACAGTGAGTTGAGCAAACCTCACATACCTGTATGGAGGAGAACTAGGGCTGTAATCCGGACTTGTGCCCGAGTTGTATGGGCTGAAATGCCATCACAGAAACAACAACAACAAAAGCTTGTCTTCAGACATGTCCATATAATGAGTAGTATGCCATTCCCAGTAACTCTAAAACAGATGATGGTTAAAATTAAATGCAGAAGTTACCTGGTTGGACTATAGGTTGGGCTGGAAGGTGAATAAGAAGGAGATGTTGGTGAGTACGATGGTGATGTAGGACTGCAATAAGCAATAAAGGTAGATTAGCTATGTAAATCGAAAAACAAGACATGATCTTCATATAGGTATCAAGGCATACTCATACTGCATTTTAGGGTGCTTGTTTCACAGGAACAGAAGTGCTTTTTAGATGAAAAAAGGTACCTTTACTTCAATCAAAAAAGTGTTGTGAAAAAAAAGGAGAACGTGCTTTTTTTTTTTTTGGGGGGGGGGGGGGCAATTTTTTGCTTATCTAAAGAAACTGCAGTTTGGTACTTCAAAAAAAAACATAAGACAGTGAAGTATTTAACTAAGAAAGCACTTGCAAAATAAGTTACCCAAATAGATTAATAGACTCTGATTAAGTTTCTAACTTCCCCAACTAATAAATCTAATATCACTAATCATCGACAGTCCATTAGAAGAAATTCCAAAATAGTTAAACTGATGTATAGCATGTCCTATAATGTAAAGGAAAATGATCATGTAAGGTAGACCTAAAAGTTGCAATTTTAGGTCTCTTTCTTTTGAGTTGCTTCCGGGTAGATTTTTTTGAAGAAATTTGGTGAGCAAGTTCTCCATGGAATGTAGATTAGGTCCATCAAATTTTATATTAAAATTCAGTCGAGAAGTTAGCTAAATAATTTTTTGAAAATTGCACAGTTTTTTAGGCCTAAAATGCAGTTTTTTTCAATAAATTATTTCAATAGTTGAGTTTTAATATGAAATTTGGTGGACATAACCTACACTTCAAGGAGAATATGATCACAAAATTTTATCAAAAAATTAGACCCAGAAGAACCTCAAATGAAAGAGGCCTAAGAATTACAACTTTTAGGCCTACCTTACATGAACATTACCGATAATGTAAATATATACAGTATTAAGGAAAGATTCAAATTATATACCTGTAACTTGGGGAAGATGGGCTGTATGGACTAGGAGACAGCTTGGGACTGGTGGGTGAGTATGCAAGTGATGGGCTGTAGCTTGCTGAAGGATTGTAGCTCTGTGAGGTGGGACTATAGCTTGGTGATGTAGGACTATACTCACGAGAGGTAGGGTTGTATGCTGGTGAAGTAGGACTATAGGATGGTGATGTTGGACTATAAAATGGAGAAGTCGGACTATAAGATGGAGAAGTCGGACTATACCAAGGTGATGTCGGGCTGTATGATGGAGAAGTCGCGCTGTATGTGTGAGATGTAGGGCTGTAACTAAGTGAGGTAGGGCTGTAACAAGGTGATGTAGGGCTGTAACGAGGTGATGTAGGGCTGTAGCTCAGCGAGGTGGGGCTGTAGCTCAGCGAGGTAGGGCTGTAACGAGGTGATGTAGGGCTGTAGCTCAGCGAGGTGGGGCTGTAGCTCAGCGAGGTAGGGCTGTAACGAGGTGATGTAGGGCTGTAGCTCAGCGAGGTGGAGCTGTAGCGCGGTGAAGTTGGTGAGTAGAATGGACTGGTGGGAGAATATGTGGGAGAGGTAGGGCTATAACCGGAGGAGTCAGGGCTATAATTGGGTGAGGATGGACTGTATCCAGATTCCATGTACATAGGTGAATACGGACTGTACTTAGAAGAGGGTGAAAAAGCCATTCCACTGAGCAAAGGAGAAAACTGAGCACCAGTGGATGGTGACATTCTGAAATTAGGACTCATAAGCATAGGAGACATGAGACCATCATATGGGGCGCCACTGATCGGGGACCGTCCAGGTGTCATTCCAAATTCAAGCCCACTGTCCATGTAACTAGGCAACGGGATCTCAATAGCATGTTTCAACATCTCCTCATTCAGATACAAAGCACATTCGCCTGTCCCAATTGGTGCAAGCTGACCCAACATAATATTTTCAGTAACGCCCCTCAAGTGATCCGACTCAGCAAACACAGCAGCATCGAGAAGAATGTCCACAGTCTCTTCAAATGAACACCTCATCATCGGTCCTGTGTCATTCCTGTTTATTCCATGCCGGGTGATGGCCATCAAATGGCCACGATATGTCATAGTGTCACACAAAATGGCCAAGTGTCTGTAATTCACATAAGAACCATCGAAAGATATGACAGCACGCAATTCATCAAGTAATGCCTTTCGAACTGCCTCAATCCCAAGAATCTCAATGACTTCAATCAAGTGGTTGCTTGTTGTTCTTTTGGCATCAACATCTTCATGACACATGACTGCTAGGAGGTTGACTCCCTCAGTGTCCAACATCCATTCTTCCTCAGCTTTAAAGCCTTCCTTCACATCAAATTTTTGTACTTTGGTGCTCTTGATGAAGACTTTGTTAATGTCAGGAATGCCACGAAGAGCCATCTCAGTCAACATGTTGCTCTCTATCTTTTTTAAAAAAACATCATCCTCAGCGGATTCATCATCCAATTCACCCTTCGAAGCTTCATCATTCATGATGCGAATCCGGAGAATCAACTTTTCAGCGTTATCGTCATTGAAAATGCAGGTAACATCATCGTCAAATTCAAGGTTGATCCTCTCTGCAATGTCAGCCATGCTGAGTTTCTTGTCCACCATCATTTCACGATTCAACTCAATTCGAAGCAACCATGGAGATATCTTGTCAGGGTTAATCTCTTCATCTGGCATCTCATAATACGACTTAACAAACTCAACATCCTCTTCGATGATGGTGCTCATAGGGTCTGGATCATACCACACTTCTGTGGCTTTGGTCACACTCCTCAGGGTGGTATACTCCAAAGCACACTGTACCGCTTTAGCTCTCTCCTTCGTTTTACCCACTTCAGGCTTTAAGAACACAGAAAGAGACGGGGTTTTTATTTTCTTTGCCACATTAATGATCTCCCTCAGCCTTGGTACACCTAGAGTGACATTCTTTGCACTCACACCAGCATAATGAAAGGTGTTAAGAGTCATTTGAGTAGCTGGTTCACCTATTGACTGTGCAGCAACACAGCCAATCATTTCACCAGGTGCAACAAGTGACTGTAAAAAGCGAGACTCTATCTCCCCTATTACCCAATCAAAAGCTTCTCTCGTGAGTCTGTACTCCTTCAGGACCCTTTTACTTGCCAAGACACTACGAAGCAAAATGTTGAAGAAGAGGGTTGCATTTTTTTGAGCTTCTATGCTGAGATAGTCATCACCATGAACAACCTTAAGCCTTTCTTGTAGTTTGTCGACGGCTTCCACAATCTCCATAGGGTGCATATCGGATGGTCTTCGGAAGTCAATCCGGAAAGTCTTTTGAGCATTTAAGACCAGTCTCTGAATATTAACAGGTAGGGGCCAGGAGTTATCACCAGTGCCAATAATCTCTGTTCCCAGCTGGAGCCTATCGGATTCAAGCTTCTGAACCTCTGCATCAAAGACACTTCGGATCTCACGTATTAACCTCAAGTCATCAATAGCATCTGGGATCATGTAATTTGGATTCCAGTTTGGATCATCAATCTCGTATTTGTACATGTCATCAAACTTCAATTTATCAACCTTCAGGGACTCTAACCTTTGTGTTTCTATCCAAACAGAATCCATACCATCTTCCCCATAGAGGAACTGGATAACATCACCTAATGAGTTCCTGACTGTACCATCATATTTGACCATGATATCTTCCATGGCTTTCACCAATCGCCTTTGGATGTAACCAGTTTCAGATGTTTTCACTGCAGTGTCAATCAGACCTTCTCTACCACCCATAGCATGGAAAAAGAACTCCTGTGGGGTCAAACCTTGCAAGTAAGAATTTTCAACGAAGCCACGACTTTCTGGACCATTGTCGTCTTTGCTGAAATGAGGGAGAGTCCTTTGAATGAAGCCTAAGGGGATTCGCTTACCTTCAACATTCTGCTGCCCCACGCAGGCAGTCATTTGAGAAATGTTTATAAAACTCCCCTTTGATCCAGCAGTTACCATAGCTTTGAGATTATTGCTCTCAGCTAGACTCTTTTCAGCAAACGTTCCAGCATCATCACGAGCCTTGTTCAAAACCTGAATGAATACACAAAAAGGATGTCATATTAGTTGTAATGGATTAGGTGAAGTGTGGGTAGAAAACATCATATGAAAGGGAAAAGAATATCAATTAATTGCCTAGACTCTACAGTCGTACCTGATTTACTTTATTCTCAAATGACTCTTGAACTGTTCTCCCAGGTTCAGCCTCTAACAACTTCTCTCGAGCATCTATTATAAGCTTTTTAACTTTGTTCTTTGCATCAGAAATAGTGTTACAGATATTTTTCATAGTCATAGCATCAGCGATTGTATCCCCAATTCCAATACTAAAGCCAGTTTGCAATAGCCAGTAGTTAACAAGCCACTGAGTATATCCAAGAAATTTACGTGCTGCATCAGGCCCCACTTCTTCCCTGTGTACAGGAGAAATCTGTCAGTATATTTCTTAGGCATGATAACTAGCAAGAATGCAATGCATATAGATTGATACCATATAACATGTATTAGACTTCCAGTGGATGTCCCAAGACTCTTCTTACAAAGAGTTCCCGTAAGCAACTCCCCCTTTTCAATTCTAACTTGAGTATCTCTTGGAGTAATAAACCCTTTTTCTGTATCTAAATGCCAGGATGAATATCTAATGAGGTTTATGGCCTTCGGTATGATGAGATTGAAAACTTGTTTCCCTGTCCAAATTGGCCTGGGTTTCAAGATCGCTGGAGCAGGGACCTTTCCATCAAAATCTCCCCACCACATCAATATATTCATAAAAACATCCTGCATGCAGTAAGGAAAAAAGTTAGTCTTTTAAAACACAAAACTATAAAGAAAAGTATATGCACATGGTCATGCAGAAAGTTAGTCTTTAGACCATCACCTTCTCAATGAAAGTGTCTCTTTTGGTGATTTTGCGGCACCCTAAAAGGGTATCCTGGACAATTCCCATTACAGGTCGATTTGCCTGAGGTGAGACAATGCACTTGGGGACCATCATGAGTTCAAGTACTTCAGCTCTAGTTTCAAATGACTGTGGAACATGCATGTTCATCTCGTCACCATCAAAATCAGCATTGTAGGGTGAGGTGACAGACAAATTCAAACGGAAAGTGGAGTATGGCATGATTTTTATCCTATGTCCCATTATAGACATCTTATGCAGACTAGGTTGTCGGTTGAATAGGACAAAATCTCCATCATTCAAGTGCCGCTCCACCTGAACCAATGAACCAAGGTTAGAAACTTGGAAAGCAGCATAGAACAAAAAGTTTGTAGCTTGTAAAAGTTCACCTTATATCCAAGCTCGAGGTGTTGATCACTGCTCTTCTTTAAGTAGCGAAGATCAAGCCTTTGTCCATCATCCCTGATTATATACTTGGCCCCAGTTTTACCTGGTGGAGGATGTGGCCCATACTCAACGAGTTCCTTCAACCTGTTGACGAATTATAAACATGACCAAGTAAGCATAGTAGCATACTTGTTCGTTAAGACTGGGTTGGTGGATACTTTGTAAAATAAAACAAACCTTTCGATATTGTATGGTGTCACAGTTTCTGGATAAGTGAGATTCAAAGCAATACTCCATGGGACTCCCAATTGATCGATGTTAATAGTTGGATCTGGAGTGATCACAGTTCGAGCAGAGAAATCCACCCGCTTACCCATCAAATTGCCTCTGATTCGACCTTCTTTAGCTTTTAATCTACTACATATTGATTTGATAGGTCTACCTGATCTTTGAGTAGCCTGAGTAGCCAAACAGAATTGCAATGACACAAAAAAATCACGCCTTTAAATTGTGTGATAAAATTGGAAACCACCCATACCCTAGGTTGACCAGGAAGTTCATTGTCGAAATAAGTAGCAATATGGAACTGCAATAACTGTGCAAATTCGGAAATGATGTGTGCAGGTGCCCCATTACGTTCTTGCTTCTTTAAATTTTCATTGTGCCGTATAATCATCGCTAGTTGATGAGTCAAATCATCCTACACCGAAGTTTAAGGAACCAATACATGTTCAGAATCAATAAACAATATGCAAATCTGGAGAAGAAAACACTAAAAGCCTCAATAGTAAGAGCACACCTCACTCCTGGATGATGTATCCATCATTACAGAAGGCCTAACTGGAGGTGGGGGTACAGGAAGTACTTGAAGAATCATCCAGTCTGGGCGAGCATACTTGGGGTCTAGTCCTAACAATTGACAGTCTTCATCACTTATCCGCTTCAGAATGCTAAGGACCTGTAAGGCAAATAAGAATTTGTAATTTTAAGAAATTATGGATAAGAGAAAATCAGTAACCGCAGCACAAGAAGGCTTAGATTGTTCAGGAACGTACCATTTCTGCCGTAAGTTGTTTACGTCCTGGCTCTGGCATCTGTTCCTGGTCGTCATTCTTCTTCTTCTGACCTTTATAATCTGAAACCATTTTCATGCCATCTATACTAATCTTGGGCTGTTGAGCCCCACAACCACCCCTAGTCTTCTTTACAGGTTCGTCAGGATCTCGGCCTTGCAGATTAATTTCATCCCCTCCTTCACATTTGCTTTTGTTTTTGCATGCATCCAAAATCTTTTTTAGCCTATTCTTGGGATTTCTTATTCTCATGGCTTGTTTGAATTTGGGCTCATCCTGCCAACATGTCAACATAACCCCAAGGTCGTCTGTAAATAAAAAGATATCCGTAAAGGCTGAAATTGTTGAGTTGTAAATAGATGCAGATCACTCTGTGCAATATCAAATGACTAACCCACATAAGTTTTGGAGTATCATCTTTAATTTCATGTCACAGAAAGATTTGAAACTCAATCTAATTGAAACCATCCAGTATAAAGTTTCTGAGTGATCACTTATGAGAACCAAATACTCTCTCCTCTGACCCCTTTCGGTTTTATCACATACGTTTTCTTTTCATCCTCTTTCTTTTTTCTTTCGGTTTTTCTTCTTGCGTTCAGATTCTTGCTTTCCTTCTGTTCCCTGCATAGCCCAAAATTATTTCTTTTCCGTTTCTTGTTTTTTTGCCTATCTTTCTTCCATCCTTCCTCTGTTTCATTACAAGGGTGGCCGGCACCAGAAGTTAATTGGGGAACTTGTAGCCCATGGGCTGCGCGCGGAACGGTGGGCAACAGGAGGCGGGTGACGGCCATTGCGAAAGTCGTGGGCTATGGGCTGCGCACAACGGCAACTATGAAAGATGTCAACGACTGCCGGTGAAGTTTTGGGTGATGGCCGACTGATGACGGTTGTTGGTGAACTGTACTAATGGCCTTATGGGCAACGCCTGGTCAGGAAGTTGTTGGCGCCGGAATTGATGCTCTTTTGTGGAAAGATTGAAAGAAAATGAAAAAATAAAGGAAATTAAAGAAGATTCATCCGAATGCAGAAACTAGGGGAAGGGGAGGAAGAAGAAGTAGTGGGTGAGAAAGAAATAAAGATAGGAGGAAAGGGGGAAAAGAGAAAAAAAAAAGTTAAAAAAGAAAATAGTATTGAAAAAGCCAATTGGATGCCACGTAGGTCGTAGGGGAGAAGCTTGGTTACCGGCAGACTACCGTTGAAAAGGCAAATTTTGATTGTTTTAAAACTTTAGGACTTAATTGACTCATTTAATAGTAGAGGACTCAATTGAGTTTTTTATATTATTATATTTGTCATGTGAAGACATACATCTTTTTAGTTTGGTCATCACTTTAGATTTTTAGTTTAATGTTACCTTTCTTTATCATAGTTTGACTTAATTTTGTATTTCTGTTATGTTTGATTTTAATCTTGGTTTTCTTCTCTTCAATTTTTGTATAGTTACTTTTGACTTTGTAAGATTTAATTATTTAGGAATCGAATAGTATCGAAGAACTGTATCGAATAGTATAGCCAAAAATTGGTACAAAGCGCGAGATAGATTCTATACATATTTGGGACGATACCGATTCTTTAATTTTTGGGAAAACTATCAAATAAGCCTCATACTATACCGAAAAAGTCAATTAGGCCCTCATACTTTACAAACACTCAATTAAGTCTTCTAACTATTAAAAAACGTTCAATTAAGCCCTTTTGGTCGGTAAGTAAATGGTTTCCCGGTTAAATATAACTTGTTTCGAGCACATCATCGACGACATTTAACCGAGAAACCGGTTACTTACCGACCAAAAGGGCTTAATTGAACGTTTTTTAATAGTTTGATGACTTAATTGAGTGTTTCTAAAGTACGAGGGGCTAATCGACTTTTTCGACATAGTATGGGGGCTTATTTGATAGTTTTCCCTTAATTTTTAAAAGAAAAGTACTTTGGTGTTTGTCTTAAAGTTGATGTGTACTTGGTATTTGTCTTGGGTGCAGAGTAATTTAGCTTGATGCCTTAAACTCCTTAAAGTTATGATGTACGGAGTACTTGGTATTTGTGTTAAAGTTCATGTGTCTTTAAGACACCAAATAACTTTGGAGGCCACCAAATTACCTCATCTGCAAGTATTCTGGAGCAATTGAAGCAGACACAACGAAGAATACTAAGCACGGTTTTCATGAATCCGATGTGAAACATTGGCTTGGCAAGCTCGAGGTGACCAAAGTGCCCAGGACACTCGGCCATGCTGCCCATGCAAGTCTCGCACTTCATCCTCCGGTCGATTGTCCCAAGCCTCGGGTCGCTTAGCCCGCCTGGCTTCGGTTTCCCCCTCTCGGTGGTCTCGCTGTGCTCTATATGGACCACTGACATTTGCCGCTGCAAAATGAATGAAAATCAACATGGCGAATTTAATCATTGAGCAACATATATAAACAGTTGCAGATTCTTCGAATTGCTGCAAATTCAGCGGATTAGGATTACAATTTCGTCAGGGCTCAGAATGCCGAACTGGACCATACGGGCCTTGGCGACCTCCGCCGGTGAATACGGAAAGCGCAAATCCATGGTAGTCAATGACCACCACCAGCGATAGAACTCTGTAGGCGTGAGGCGAGATAGAAACGCCTCGCACGAATACTATGCGGTGTCAATAAGCGTACGAGACCCGAATTACGTTAAATCGGGCACACTTCCATTGTTCCAAAATCGAAAGCAACGGCCTTATTATATAGAGCAGTAGCTAGAGAAATCTTTTGCTTCTTTCCGGTGTGGGAAAAGGCCGGAACACAAAAAATTACTTCGTATTAGTTTATTATATTATACCAATACGGTGAATACTAGTATAATATATTATCATAATTATCATTATATTATGTAATGTACTCCACTAAATGTTTTTTTTTGAGAGAATACTCCACTAAATGTTGATTATTACTAGTATTATATATTATCATAATTATCATTAGTTTATTACCACAGTACCATATTGTTAATGTATTAAGTGTTATATTTGCATTTGTATTTGTTAACGTTATTATTTCATCATTGAATTAGTTAGTTCACCGACTCTTCCTTTTGTATACATGTTAAGAGCGGTCTAGTAGCTCCTATTTTCAGCTTTATTAATCAAGTTTTTAATAATTACGTAATTTTTTGATTTCACGTGCAAAATTTTTTAATAATCAAAATAAGTAAGATTTGAATCACTTTTATGATTGAGTTCACTTAAATGATTGTAAAAGACAATTTTAGCATCTTTGTGTTTTTCTTTAATTTTATTTAATAAAATATATTTTTAGTATAATTTTTCAAAATTTGGCAGAACTCAACTATTTCAGCTCGAATTTTATAAATTTTAGCAGATTCAGCCGATTTCGTTTCTTTTAATGTTATCAAACAGATCTTAAAAAGGTGCATATATAACATTATGTTTATGATGCTTTTACTTGATTTTTTCCAATTGTACATGTATATATTTATTAAATTAAAGCTTCTATTAAAAGTAAAATAATCAATTAAGAGTCAAACGCTTTTTCATGCCTTACCCCACCTAAACTCGCCAAGGCTTCAAAGGCTTAAGGCTTCATCATGCCGCCTCGTCACGTTTTACGCCTTTTAGAACACTGATGTTTGTCCGATAGTAGCTCGTCTTTGTATTATGCGGCTCTTCTCTTTGATGGAGAAGAAACGCAATTTATATCCTACATCCGAGTGTACATGTACACCCGTTTTTGCAGTTATATATCTTCAACAAATAATTTGAATGTCTTTCTGATTGAAGTTTTAGTTGAAATTTGGTATGAGTGAACTACACTTAATGAATAAGATGTTCAAAAAAATTATCAAAAAATTCCACCGGGAACCGCCCCAAATGACGACGGCCGGACAGAGTCTCCTATATAAGGTCTTATTTGACCTTTTTATGTAAGTTCGACGACCTATCTGACTCTTTTCCCTATTCAACTATTATGAAAATGTATTATGTAAAATATTGTTAAATGTTTCAGTTTATTTTTTAGATTCATGTAGGAGTTGATTATGGATATAGGAGCACATACTGTGATACTCAATTGCATGTTTTCAATACTCAATAGAGAATGTTTGATGTTCAATAAAAATATATTGAAGTTCAGCTAAAAACTTATTATTTTCATATCAATACTCATTTTGTTAGTTGTTTGTTCAATTTGTACTCATATTTTGCTCATTTTTAAAATCTCATATTCATGCAAATTGATAGGTTCCTAATACTCAACCGAATAAGTCTGAATTCATTGAAAGTGTTTTAATGCTCATAATAGGTTTGATGGACAATAAAAGTTCATTAATGCTCATTTAATAGAAAAACTGTGATTTTCATCTCAATAGAGGAGTTTTGATGCTCAATGAAAATGTTGTTATGTCAAACTAACAAACCTTACAATTTTCATATAAATGAACATTTTGTAAATTATGTATGCTTATCTTATACTGATCTTATGCTCATTTTTTAAATATCATATCAATGCATTTTTTAAAACTACTAATTTACATTAGATTCACATATTGAATCTAATATGAGTTGACTATAAATATAATTTAATAAGTTTTTATAAAAGTAACAAAAAGAAAGTGAATTAGAAGTTATGAAGTAGAGATCACGATTCTGAATATTAGACTCCTAATACTCAACATAACAGGTCTGATGCTCATTAAAATTTCATTAATATTCAATCATCAGGAACCGTAATTTTCATCTCAATAGCGGAGGTTTGATGCTCAATTAAAATGTTGTGATGTTCAACTAACAAACATTAAGATTTTCATATCAATGTGCAGTTTGTAAGTTATGTATGCTCATTTGGTACTGATGTTATACTCATTTTTAAAATGTCATATCAATGCATATTTCAAAAGTATCATATTACGTCACACTCGCATATTGAAATTAATAAGAGTGAATTATAGATATATTTTAGTGAGTTTATATAAAAGAAAAAAAGAATCAGAAGATATGAAGCGGAGGTCGCGATACTCATTGTTAGCCTCATAATACTCAAAGCAAATAGGTTAGATGCTCACTAAAAGTACAATATCGCTCATTTAGCAAAAAACGTGTTTTTTTCGCTTAAATTACAAAAATACCACCAAGAAATAGTCTGTATTAGTTAAATGGGCTGTCTTTCTTAATTAATTGGGCCTTTTTGTGGGCCTTCGTCAAAAAGACAACCCATTTAACTAATACAGACTAATTTTTTCGGTGTCATTTTTGTAATTTAAGCGAAAAATCGCGGTTACTTTTGAAACACATGAACCAATTTTCGGGCACTTTTAAAAATTGTAGTTACTTTTAACGGACTTTTTCAGACGTTTTAACGGCGTGACCCTCTTGTGATAACGGAATTCAAACACGTGAACCACTTTGATAAAGAATGAAACACATGACTCTATTCGAAAACGAGCTCAACCACAAGTACCTTTTCCGTACGTTTCCTTAAACTTAACTACACTTATTTAATGTTACTTATTTAATGTTGTATATACACCCAAATTATTCTAAAATTAAATGAACCAAAACAATAATCATATCTCAAATCTAAATCTCCCTCTATCCAACCAATACCAGAAGCTCACTGGCCCTCTCACGTCATGATCAGACATAGAATTGTCCATCACAGGAAGAGCGAGACTAATCGTTGAAAAGTGAGAGCAAAGAAATTATTAGCGGCTAAGTCACCCTGATTGCCTCCAAACATAAATCTATCAACTTAAATAAACCAAATGAACTCAATAACTACAAAAAACACAAACAATTATCTAAATAAAAAAGAATGATGAAACAAATAATAAACCTTGGTGGAGAAAATGAACAGAAAGCAACAATCAAACAGATCTGTCCTTGAAACTTCAAGTCTCAGACCCTGGCTCCACGGTCGGTCCAATGTGGATGTTCGGGAGGTGGACGAACTGTCGACACCTCTTCTCCTTTCGCCCTGAACCCACCCTCGTCCTGTTCTCCCTTCTTTGCCATTCAGATGGATGAAGTTTTCCCATCATTCT